TCTGGTGATAAATTCACCCTCACAGAACAGGGACAACTTAGGAGCTGAAGCTCCTTGAGGGCACATTTCTATCAGTGCAATCAGCAGAAACCAAGGCAATGCTGCTGCTTGAGGTGGTTGTACCCACCATGTTTGCATCCCTCACTGCCCGCTCTCCGTAACACCCACAGGCTGCCCCTGACCCCCTTCCCCCTCACCTCCTGGGCCATGCTCAGGGCCCATCCTGAAGCACACCCACCACCATGGAAGTGGCACAAGGGAAAAGCCCATGGGGAGACAGCACAAAGCTCAGTGCCAGCTGAACACTGGCAGCCACACATTGCATCCCCCTCACAGATGTGATCCCACATAGCCCTGAGTGCACAAAGGCTGTTTGATTCCACGCTAAACAATTCTAGCTGTGCCCAGACAACAGACTCACTTAAAAGCTCCAATAATTCCTTTTAAAAAACCCTTTGCATCTGCGACACTTTTGCTGTATTTTCCAAATCGTGTTACCAAAAAAGGAAACAAAAAAATTAATCAAGGAGTTTGTTGGTTGGAAAAGCCAGTAATTTTTAGCCTGAATTCAGAATATTTTAGAAAGCTCGTTATAAAACAGGGTGATGCAGGAAGAGGACATAAGGCTCTTCACTCCTGATTTATACTAACAATGGACTTCCAGGGTGCCATTAGGGAAGTGCAGGTTATGTGTGTCTAAGAAAATGTCACCACTTGTTTGAATAAGGCAAAGAAGATTCAGGATTTGCAGGGCCTGGCATTTTATGCCACCATCAGAACAGAAATGCAAGCAAGAAACAGCAGTCCTCAGAGATGGCACTGCTCAAGTATGGAAAAGTACCAAACACAAGTAGGACCTGGGGATGAGGCGGCTGAATAAGGACCGACATGGTTTGGAGTTCAGCACTGCCCAAGTCATTGCACATTGTCCTTCCAGAGCAAAATGGAAAGGAGAAAAGCGAGCTGGACACACCAACCTAGTTGGCAGGAGTACAGGAATTCTGTTTTTTTAGCTGCCATAAAGACCTACTGAAACAAGAGCTTCCCAAATCTCTGCAGGTACGTCTGTGACTTTTCCATCATCAGTAGCCTGCTGCTTAGGGAAGCAGAGCATTAGGCTTTCTTTAAAGGAGCCTTAAAAGCCCCTCTGTTCACTTTCAACTATTCATCACAGTCATTTGAAGTTCTCTTTTGCACCCCTCCTTCTTTTTACTCACATCTGGTGCTGCATGTACTACACTGCAACCATAAATAATGAAGGAATGATATGGAGATACTGGATGCTCTGTTCCAGTGTCCTCATGGCCAACCTTCCAATAAAGTCCTTACATTTTCACTACAATACACACAGAAGAGAAGGGGTGGAGAGACAATGTTCCCCATTCTAGAATGCAGCTTTTAAATTGCACTTCATTAGCAGAGTCAGCAAACATAGAGGCTGAAAAATAAACTGCATATTTGAAAAAGAGGATTTTCTCCCTCAGTGAGTACATGCACATTGCAAACTCCAGATAGAATAGACAAGAATTAGCAGAAGCATTTCAGGAAGGGCTGATCTCTGTCAATAGCTGGGTCTCCTAGCAAAATCTGGCATTTGCATGTCCTACATGCCAGAGACTGAAGTGAGAGAAGGCTGCTTTTAATTGCCTTTGTTTCAGATGTATGGTATGATAATAATGGAATAATGTTGTCCCAACACACAACCTGTTAGGAGGTTACATGGATCATGTCAGATCTCTGCACTGGGTGAGCATTTCTGTAGCCATGTGACATTCTCTCTCTGTGCAAGCAGATCCTATTCCATGACTGATTTGACTGATAATGGAAATGGAGGGAAAACGGCAACCAGTTATGTAATTTTTCCAAGTAACAACTGAAATTTCCCTATCAGCACTAGGCCGGTGACCTTCCATTTCCATCTTCACCAGAATCTCCTTGCTGCTGGTGTAGAGGTTTCTCTAGAGAAGCCTTTTTAAGTGGCAACTTGAAAAAAATGGGGTTTGGACAGTGATCATTAAATGGTTCTTTAAATGCAGGATAACAGATTATGGCACTTCCAGGCTAGGCAAACTGTGCCAAGTATGAGCACTTCAAACTCTAGAACAGAGCTGTGAAAACTATGCTGACGTCCTTTCAAAACTCTGCTCCCACACACTCATGGTGAAAAAATCTCCAGAGAATAATACAATAGGGACTACCTTCTTTGTGAAGCTATTTTTGGTTTATCACTATTATACACTCATTCTGGGTGTTTTCTGAAGATGTCTTTGAGTTCCATTGCCTTAAGGAAAAGTACCACTGTAGTTTTTATATATTTGTAAGAACTGACCACAGGAACAAAGTTCCAGTTCTACAATCCCCAACTTCACACAAACCAGGTCTTGGACACAATTTTAACAAATTAATCCCAAGAGCTTGTAATCACCCCTAGGTGAAATAATGGGAAATCTTTTTAACCATCTCAATGAATATTAGGCCCTTATCTTTCTTACCTTGCCTTTCTTGAGTGCTCATCCTAATTTCTCAATCTTGTCTTACTAAATACTGATTATAAAAAATTAATTGCATCCACATATAGCAAGTTGCCTGTGCAAATGGGCAGCAAATGGAATACACGAAACTCCAGAAAAAGGCAGCAGTAGTGTAAGGCAGTAAGGTATTTGGAGTGACTCCTGGCAGCGAGGCACTCAGAGGTTAAACTGGACTGCAGTGAAAGAAATCCCTGCTGAAGGGTTCATTTATTTACACTCCCATTAGAGGAGCCTACAAAGACATACATCAACAGAAACAAACCATTTTAGTACGTCCATTGAGTGAACATCCATCAGTGAACACGATCTGTGCCAGCATGTCTTAAGAGTGACAAGACATTATTATTGTAGTGCCAGAGGAGGAGGGGGCAGGGCCCAGAACAAAAGGGAGTGCTGATCCCTGCCTTAACAATGAGCCCCTATTCTCTTGCACCGCACCTGAGCTCCAAGGCTTCAAACCCAAAAACCTTCTCCATTGGCCACTAACAGCTCCTCTGTGGTTTGCCTCACAACTCCCCTGTTTCCTTCAAAGGAGCCTTCCCCTCATGGCATCTCTGACTACTGTATCACCTCTGCTAAATAAATGACATCACCTCGCTCATCAGCCACACGCAGCTTTGCTCCTTCCCACTGTTTGAACTCACTGTTTATTTTTTTAAGCACCTAACCCTCTATTAATCCTCCAGACAGCACAAAGGATCCATTTGCCAGAGACAGCGATTAGAGCTGTGAGCACTGAGGCTTCCTGGGAAACACCTGTTTCCCTCAAATAACCTGAAGGAAAAAACTCAGCAAGCAGGACAAAGTGCTGGTGGAAATGGAGAAAAATGGGAACACAGTCCTGGTGTGATGAGAGCTACCAAACTCCAGGTGGTGGATGTCTGCCTTCTTCAGTGACCAGTGCAGAAACACACTCAGCATCTACAGTAACAAACTCATGTGCCTTTGACACTTTGTTGCTCCTGATCAACTGTGCCTCCCCTCTTCAAATCTTACCAGTGCAGAAATGTGTAAACTACTTAATGGAAATATTTTTGTAATTATTTCCTTTATTACTTTTTTCCTTTGCCCGGAACTTATATTTGAAGAGATCAACAGCATCTTAAAATTTGAAACATTTCAACCAGTTCAATTTCTGAAACATCATCAGTACCTTACCATCAACCTTACCGTTGTTCCAGGCTTTGCAGGTTTTTCTTCCAACAGCACCAAACATCTGAATTTTGATATGTGAGCGTTTTGAAAAATGAGCATTTTAAGAGAGTATGAACAAGGATTTGAACTTTCATAATTGTTTTGGTTATTCATGTAAAGGTAACAGGCAGCCTTTGGAGACACAAACTCATATGGAAAGGGTAACTGGATGGCTGCTGGATTTAGCTCCTTTGAAAGCAAAGATAAGTGACAATATACAAACAATACTGAGTGGCATGGCATGGCTGAGTCATTCTCTGGTTTATGAAATGAGACAAAACGAGGTACCAAACAGGTTGTGTAAGCACCACAGGCAATAGCTAAAGCTGGAGGAAGGCCAGGCTACATTAGTAGCTGCCATTTGATCTCCTTCAAGATCCCTGAACAGCCAATGCCTGATGAAGTCAGCAGAAAGGCTCCTGCCCATCCCAGGAGGTGCTGCAGTAACCCAGCACAGCTGGTGAACAACAGCCCACAGACGGAGGAGCAGAGCTGCTGCTGCAGCCTCAGTCCAGCAGCACGCTGGGAAGCAGGCTGTGCTGATACTGCCCCGCCCAAGGCTGATCAGGGGAATTGGTCCTCCTGAGTACTTTTCAGCCTCTCAAGTTAATGAGATTGTTCAAGGAATAACGCACCACAGAACCTGAATATTTATGGCAAATCCACCACAGTGATTTCTAATGTACTCTGATCCAAGAATTCTGAATAAAACATCAAGAACTCCAAGAGATATTTTCAACTGATATAAATCAGCTGCTCCCCCTTTCAAAGCTATGGAGCTGCAGCAATTTACAACTAACAAAACCACAGCTTACCATTTTCAAAATTCAAATATTTTTTGCAGTATTTACAGCTAAGAGCAGACCCAGACCCTTGCTTTTATTTTCTTATTGTAAAATAATAGATCATTTCTCAGCCACAAAGTGCAAGGGGTTTTAACTTATCACCAAAATCAGGCATTGCAAGACATTATTTAGATTCCCATTGGTTTCTTGTAAGTTGCACTTCTTATACATTAGAAACTTCTTTAAGAAGGCCCCAGAGGAAATGAAGAATGTATTAGGTATGAAAATGTATACACAGGAATAATATAAAACACACATTTTCTTATTTTTTAAACCCTTTTGGAACTGATGCTCTTAATACCACATAGAAACAAATGCACACACATGTGTGTGTGATATATATGTAGGTACACAGCTTTATCTACCCATATGTATTGTTCTAGTAACAGTCACCCTTTCATGGGGCTCATCAGTCACAGGTTTTACTCACCTGATGGGCAATTTGCCATCGAGCTGTCCCATCTCTCAGCACACCTTATCTGCCTTTCTTCAGATCCATACTTACAAGTAAGGGAAGGTTGGATATCTGTCTCCTCCTAAGCACAATAAAATTAAAGCTGTAATTAGCAGCCTGCCCTGGACACCAGGTTACATTCCACACTGCACAGAGGGCCTTGGGCAGGAGCGGCAGGTCCCTCGGGACAATGTAGGAGCCCAAAGGAGAAAGTCAGACCTGATGTGTGCAAACAAACAGCTGAGCTTGTCCTTCCTTCAGGAACCTGAATTATAGACAGGAGCTCCTGTTTGGATGGCACTGAGATTCCCACAAGACATCTGGGTGGAAGAAATTAGGTTTCAGGAAAAAGAACTCATAGTATCTGACTACTGATGCCTGTTTAAATCAACAGAAATAAAGCAATCAAAAGATCGTTACCTTTGTGAAAGAGATGAGTTCAATAATTTGCAAAAACAATGCAGGGATTAATTACAAAACCTTTAGATATTGTTAGTTTAGTGCGGCACTCAGGTGCGCTCTGGGGTGGGGCTGCTAGAGCGGCGGGAGCAGCCCCCACCTCCCCTCAGAGCTTCGGAGAGGAGCTCCCAGTCTCTCCTCACACTCTTCAGAGGACTCCCGCTTCTTCTCGTAGCTTCAGGAAACCCCTTCTCCCTCACAGCTCTGGCAGCCCCCTCCTCCCCTCACGGGAAGAGGCCCGGCCATGCCCGTTCTTTCCCCCACAGCCCGAGCCGTGTTCCATCCTCCCCTCACGGCCTCTGAAGGATCCCCCCTCCTCTCCTCAGAGCTTCGGAGAGGAGCTCCCAGTCTCTACTCACACTCTTCAGAGGGCTCCCGCTTCTTTTCACAGCTTCAGGAAACCTCTTCTCCCTCACAGCCCGGGCCGTGCCCCATCCTCCCCTCACAGCCCGGGCCGTGCCCCGTTCTTCCCCTCAGGGCCTCTGAAGGATCTCCCTCCTCTCCTCAGAGCTTCGGAGCGGAGCTCCCAGTCTCTCCTCACACTCTTCAGAGGCCTCCCGCTTCTTTTCACAGCTTCAGAAAACCCCTTCTCCCTCACAGCCCTGGCAGACCCGTCCTCCCTCTCAGCCCGGGCCGTGCGTTTTTCCCCAAAGGGGAAGAAGCCCGGCCGTGCCCGTTCTTCCCCTCACAGCCCGGGCCGTACGTTCTTCACCTCACGGGAAGAGGCCCGGCCGTGCCCGTTCTTCCCCACACAATTCAGGCAGCCCCGTCCTCCCCTCACAGCCCGGGTAGCTCCATCCTCCCCTCACGGTCCCGGGCCGTGCCCTGTCCTCCCCTCACGGCCTCAGGGTGGATCCCACTCCTCACAGCCTCTGAAGGATCCCCCTTCCCTCCTCACAGTCCAGGCCAGCCCCTTCCTCCCCTCACAGCACAGCCTCAGGGAGGAGCCCCCCGTCTCGCCTCACAGCCTCGGAGAACCCCTCCTCTCCTCACAAGGAGACCGATGCCCAAGCACCCACACCGAGGTGCAGCAGCTCTGCTGTTCCAAAACACTGAGAAATAGTCCTGAAGGTTTTCACGCAGCAGGGCTGACAAGCCACCCCGTTCCACGTTAGCAGTGACAACCTGCACCTTGCCACCCCCCCCTTCCCTCACAGCCCCCGGCCAGGGGTTCTGAGGTGACTCCTGACACCCGGAAGCCCAGGAACCACAACATCTTATCTTACACTTCTAGCAGACATTTGGGTTCAGTGGTGCCACTTCCCAGCCAAAAGGGATCATCCATCTTTATTAACCAAACTCAAGTGAGCAGCTATGTCAAATGAATTCACAATATGCACATAATCCCATCTCATGTATTATTGGAGTATCTGCACCTTAGCTGACGGATTTCTTATTAACACAAGTGTACTTTAGCCCTGCTTATAATTGAAACCTCGCTTCTGGCCAGCCACATGTCTGGTAGAGCCAGGAGAACTACTTTTTCCATGTTCACAAGCATCCCTGCCAGTCCTTGGTGTCACCACCTGATTAGATCTCTCGCACCGCGGGCTCTGCTCTGGCACGTAGGAGAGCATCGTCTCACTGCACCTGCCTCGAAACGTGGCCTTGAGGGTGAAGGCAGAAGAGGAATGGCAGATGTTCCATGTACCAAACTGACTTTTCTGCAGATCAGCTGGCTTGCCCTTAGTAGAAAGGCACAATTACTCAATCAGATCAATCAAGAACACAACGTACTTGAAGCTACTGTTCACTGTTCCTTCTAAATCTTGCCTACATATTAGAGCAGCAAATGTGAAATGAAAAACCAGACATGAGTCCCTGGTCCACCAATCCTTCCTTGAGCCAACAGAGCTCCTGAGCTACACAGAGAACGTGTGAACATGACATGAGTTCACACCTTGGCCAAACCAGGGCAGATGCTTGGGAGGCAAAAAAAACACCCCAGTACCCTTTTTAATACTTTACTCTGAAACAGCTGTAGTGTTTTAATGTAAGCAAAATTATATATTCTTCGCTGTGCTCAGCCTCAGAAGCTGCCAAAGCATTTCTGCCAATCATTTCCAGCCTGCAGCAGCCCTCAGTGTGGATGATTTCAGCACGCATGGTAAAAGTTTCACAGCATTATAGGCTGCCACAATGGAAATTGTTGGGCATCCCTGGTTTCACTTATAATAATGAAGCTTGCTTGAAAGCTAGGAGCAGTTTGATGTAGTAGTTTTTACATAATAAAGACCATTTTTTGTGAAACCAAATTGTTTTACAGCTGAATGTTTTAACTTTCCAAGTTAATCTTGACTCATATGTTTTATTCTCACCATATCACTGTATTTCATTGTTTCAACTCATACATATGTTACATGAAAACAAATGTTAATACATACCATGTGTGCAGACTGTTACACCCCAGTGAGCTTACACTGTTACACTTTACGATATAATAGAAAATCACTGCTATCAAACATTATATTTTCAAATTTCAGAATCAAAATCTTTTGACTCTTCCGAAGTAAAACTCGGAATATTCCTTACACAGCAAGTGCCCAACACACTCCAACTTCATTGAGTGCCTGATCTGATGGGGTGTGCAAACTCATTTTGAAACTTCAAATTTTGTTTTAATTGCGAAAGTTCTACTTTCCAACCAATTTTACCAATAGCATATAACACCTAAACTATAACTTTGAGACTCCAAAGTGCTTGAGTAAATAGATCACTGTCTGAGAAAATGGGGTATCCGCTCAATGAGAAAAAATTAGGATTTTTTCATCTAACATTCAAAATTCTGAAGGTTTTGCTTATTTTTCTTTAATACTGGACAATTCTGGCCAGAAAAAAATAATTTAGCAATACTGCCATCATTTGCACCTGTGGTCCTGTCATTCATGCATACATTTTGCAGAGCTTAAGCTATTGAAGCTTTGGAACCTATGTAACTTGCGCATATGTAAAATCAGAGCAATCACAGCAGCGAACTGGAAAGATTTTAATGTTCTCTTGTTAAACACCAGGAGATTCCTCCCCATATATCTGTGGCCTTCCCCAAGGTTCTCATCACTGACTATCTCCATTATCTAAAAATAAAATTCATGGAACACAAACCATGACCATAAAGCAGACCTGGAGCTTGTTATGAGACATGCAGGGTTCAACTGAAAATCAAACATCCTCAGAGGAATGGCCAGAAACCTGCTTTTGGGAAACATGTCTAGAGGTCATACTGGCACGGAGGGAGACTGCTGGAGCTGACTGAATGCCTTGGGGCAGAAATTCTCCTGGCTTTATCTTGTCATTCAGTTCCAACAAGTTCTTAGATCCTTTCTACATTTACTCCTTTAATATTTTACAGACGTCTCCCTTATGTAAATGTTCTCTGGACATTGTGTGCCATTTATTTACAGCAGGTTATTCCATACACAGCTCCAACAGTGCCTGCTGGTAACATTCACTGCTGCTGCCAACAATTCTTGAACCAAGCCACTATCTGCATATTCCCCTTTGGGCTACTAGCAAGGTCCTTCAGTTCTCATTCTGTTACTGCCACCCAGACAGCTCCTTTAGATTTTAAAACAAAATTATTAATCTGGGGGAAAATAAAAGCCATGTGGGACTGTTGTGCTGCTGGCAAGTATCATCCTAAATCCACTGCAGTCAGTGGGACAGATTTGACATCCTGTAAATGGTCACAACAATGGCAATGAAACCAAAGCTCTTCTCCAGGGTCCAACCTACCAACACTACTGCCCTGCTCAATATCCTTATTTTTTATCTAATATCAAGAACTTGAGTTGATCAAATCCTCTGGGCTGGCAGCTATGGTTAACATGAGACTGTGGTCACCTTGGAACAAAATCCCATGTGTTTGTACACACTTCCCTGGAGATGCAATTCCTCTCTCCTGCTTTTTAGCTGGACAAGAATTGTTTATTCTCAGCTGCATCTGCTCCAACAACAGAAACATATCTGCAACTCTCCTGGACACCTATGTCAGATGGTCTCTCCCTTCCAGGCCAATAGCCCAATACTCAAACCTCAATTTCCAACATGATTGCTACATATCCCCCCTTGATTGTGTTCAAGGCTTTTCCATGGGCAGACTGCTGTCCATTTCTGCTGGAGAACAGTTTATTTCAGTGACTCCCTATGTATTGGGGTGGCAGATGATGTCTTAACTTGCCATAAGCTTCTGTTTCAGAAGGCTTAATAAACTCAACTGAACAACAGCCTAAGAAAGGAAGTAGGAGATTAAACAGGCTGGTATTTCTACCCCCTTCTGCTTCCTAGGAAAGACAAAATAAAAACCAAACAAGCAGTGGCCCAAACTGGAGCTCACACAGCTCTCCCCATTAACTCTGTGTTTGTCTGTGTTACCTATGAACCAACATGGTTTCAATTTAACTTCTTATTAATCTCGTGCATTTCTTTCAACTGCTATTTTAAAAATAGAAACTTCATGTTGAACATTTTAATAGCATTACATTTCAAAGGCAACAAGCTGCTGTACTGATTTTTTTTTCCAAAAACTTTATTGCCAGATGTAAGTATGTGTGATTATTGATATTCTTTGTTTTCCCACAGGTTTCTCTTTTCCTTATTAAACAACATATCTGTAGGTAAGCAGCT